GCATTGAAGCAACTGCCATGTGATTGGTTGATTAGATAATTGCATTAATGAGAAATTGAACAGGTGTTCCTAATAATCCTTTAGGTGAGTGTATGTCAAAATATTATAGTGCCAGGTGGACCGAGATTTTGTGAGCGTAGCAAAGGACGCGGAGACTTGCTTGCTGGGACAGAACATGGTCTTTATTCTAGTTCTGAACAGGACTGTAACAGGCACCCAACAAGCACCGAACCCAAATATAACCAGGGAAAGTCGGGGAGGCTAGACACATCAGACAATCAAGGTACACACACGGTGGGAGATTAATACACAGCTAAAGACATGCAAGAATAATACAGGTGGCACATAAAATACGGGCAAATGCAAGATAGTAGGGAATGCAACTATAACCCCAAATGAACTTTATGGGCCAAATGGCCTCCTCTCGTTTGTAAATTTCTTATGTTCTTTAACTAGAACATCAGTACGTACACAGTGCTATTTACAGTTACCTGCGGGACATGCTGGGACATGCAAATCCCGCTGGCACTACAATATATATTTTTAGTGCATTAGTTTGCCATTTGTGGCAAGACAATTTAAAACACTCATGTGTATTGCATAAGCTTTCCCTTGTGTGTGACCCTGAATTAACTCATTATCTGAGGCAGTGCTGGTAAATGCACACTTCAAACAACATTCACACAAAATGAAACAACATGTTTGGCAACAATTTGAGAACAATCTGTCACATTTAAAATGACGCTGCCTTGTTCATTCTATGTCACAACATAACCCTAGAGGCTGCAGAATGTTTTTATTAGATTTCATTAGATATTAGGCTTTATTGTCCCTGAGGGGCAATTTTGTGTGCAGACAGCAGTCGACACAACCAACACACTGCTGGGCAAAAAAAATTATCGCATATTTTATGATTTCTTGTTTAACAAATACAGTTGAAATAAGTAACAGTGTTTCACAATGTTGTATCCATTGTCTGTAGCAAGTGAGCAGTTTAGAAGGAGATGGCTTTTCCCTTGTTTTGCTTTAGAAAACTCAGCAATTTGGGCAAGCTGTCTTACAGCCTTTCTCGTGTGCTGTGTCAGTGCTGTTCATTCATGTCTGATTGAAGTCTGAGGATGTCCAGATTCCACTGTCAAAATTCAGAGAATTGGTCATACATTTCAAGTGACAGGATCTGTGGCATGGAAGGCAGGTTCTGGAAGAACTAAAGTGACAAGTCAAGATGACAGAAGGCTGAATATGACTGTCCTAAAGAATCGTAAGATGTCTCACAAAATTAGCATGGGGTGTTTCACGAAGAACAATTAGAAGATGGCTAAAGGAAGCTGGTATTTTATCAAAAAGTGTGCAAGGAAACCATTGCTTTCCACAATGAAGTTGGCAGGCAGACTCAAATTTTCGTACTTTATGGTCACCATGATTCTCAATGGTTTTCTCTGGAGTGATGAGCTGTACTAATACAGAATTAGTATTAGTATCGATGCTCCCGAACACTGTCTTCATAGGTAAAGTGAGAAATTCAACCCAGAATGCCTGTCCACCACTGTGAAACAGGGCGGAGGAGGGATAATGGTATCGGGGTGTTTTCTGCATCTGATATTGGTGAGCTGATGTGATGTGAAAAGTCCATTCATTCAAACGAGTACCAAATGATATTACAGAAAGGGTTTATTCCAAGCTTAAACAAGTTCTCTTGTGGAAATGACAAGAGGCTATTTTTCATCAAGATAATGCACCAGCACACACAGCATAAACAACAAAGTCATAGCTGAGGTGGCATTCACTGACAGTAATATTTTGGCCTGGTCAGTCACCAGATCTTAGCCCTATAGAGAAGATATGGGTGCATATCAAGGCCAAATTTGTTGGCAGAAACTTCAGAAGCAATGACCATCTGTGGGAAGCAGTCAAACATGAATGGAACAGTATTGATGGAGCACATAAAAAAGGCTGTTAGATAGCTTGCCCAAACGGCTGAGTTTTCTTAAGAAAAAAAAGGGAAAAGCCATTACATACTAAAATGCGCACTAGATGTATAAGAACATAAGAACTATACAAACGAGAGGAGGCCATTCGGCCCATCGAGCTCGCTTGGGGAGAACTTAACTAATAGCTCAGAGTTGT